TGATTTCCCTGTTCTGGACGTTTCATATAAATGGTAACTTACAATATATGATCTTTAGGACTCGGAGTGTAGCTCAGTAGTAGAGCACTTGCCTAGCATTTCAGGTCCCCTGGGTTCCATCCCCAGCAAAACACACACACACACACACACACACACACCCCACACCCCCCCCCCCCACACACACATACATGCATGCACACGCACACATGGAGTCTTTTGTGAGATTCATCCATGTTGTAGCATGTATCAGTACTTCATTTCTTTTTATGGTCAAATAACTTTCCATTGTACCCAGGTACCACACACTGTTTAGTCATTCATGTTCATGAACATTTGGGTTGCTTATTTTTTAAATCTATTATGAATATCATTGCTATTATGTACAATTTATTCTTCTCTTTCTCCTTCTCTTACAGTGTTGGGGATCAAACCCAAGGCCTACTTCATGTTAGGCAGGAGGAGCTCTACCACTGAGCCACCCCAGCCCTCTTTATTTTAATTTGAGACAGGGTCTGACAAAGTTTTGGAGGCTGGCCTTGAATTTAGCAATCCTCCTGCCTCAGTGTCTGGAGTAGCTGGGATTATGGGGTTGTGCCCTCATGCCTGGCTTTGTCCACAAGTTTATGTATGGACATATATTTTTCATTTCTCTTGGGCATGTGCCCAGGGGGTTTGCTGAGCTTTCTGGGAACTCTGTATCATTTTCAGGCACTGCATAACTATTCCAAAGTGGCCTCGCTATTTGTCTCTCCCATGAGCAGGGTTTGAAGGTTCTAGTTTTATTCACATCCTCACCAGCACTTGTTATTTTTTTGTCTTTTTATAACCTCCATTGGAGGCGTGACATGTATCTCATTGTGGAATCGCTTTATATATCTGTAATGACTAATCATTAAGTATTTAAAAAAATTTTTTTTAGTTGTAGATGGACACAATACCTTTATTTTATTTCTTTTTTAAATTTTTATGTGGTGTCAGCGATTGAACCCAGTGCCTCGTGCATGCTAGTCAGGTGCTCTACCACTGAGCCACAATCCTGGCCCCCATATTAAATAATTTTTTCATGTGTTTATTAGCCCTTTGTGTTTTCTTTGGTGAAATGTTTAATCAAATCCTTTGTCCGGTTTTAAAATTGTGCCTATGTTTTGACCCAGCAGTTCCACTGCCTGCTATCAATCCTAGAGAAACCCTCATACATGTGCATAGTGAGACCTGTATACATACAGCTTGTTTGGAAAAGAAAAATGGAAACAAACTGAGTTACTATCAGTAGGAGATTGGGTAAATACCCATCCTTTCAAAAGTGCCTTTCAGACTGTTTGTGACCCATTGGTAGCTCATGCAATTCAGTTTAGTTGGTTGCAACCAGACCTTTAAAAAGTGAAACAGAATAGAAAGTAGTTCTGGAATTAAGGACTGATCATGGTCAGTAAAGTTTGAAAAACAGTGCTGTGGAATGCTTTGTGGGAGTTACAAATATCGAAGCGCACGCGTTAGTACTGTCATCAGAACATCTTCAGGACACCTTTTAGTAGAGGAAAAATGTTGCAGAATAGTATGTATAGTTGGTCCGCATTTGTTTTCTCTTTATGCTAGGAAATAAAACCCCATGTCTAGAGAAGGGCCTGGAGGATCCGATGTGCATCTTCTGACGTCAGTGGTTACTGCTGAGGGGAAACTGAGGTGGGCGTGAGGAGGGGTCAGGGAGAACTTTAGGTGTAGCTGGAGTTTTGTATTTATGTTTTTCTCTAATTAAGAATGAATCTCATGGGATGAAAAAGGAATTGTTAAAAGGCAAACAAAGGCGTACTTGTTGGTGTGATGTCCAGTTCCTTCCTTGGCTCTCCCGCACTGTCAGTGAAACGTTGGGTCCTGGAGTCTTGTAAAGTGAAAGGACGATTGTTGCTGGCAAATAGAAGCCTAGAGGGGAGGCCTCCCTTAGGGCGGTGATGGAGCCGGAGAGAGGAGGTGCAGCTGCACGGGGGTGGGGGTGGTACTTGTTCACTCAGCAAAGTCCAGAATAGCAGTGTGCGCCCTGTGCCAAGCACCATAAGCCCTCTGCCTCCATGCATTGGGTCCCCCACCACACCCCAGGAAGGTGTTGGGGACATCAGGGTGATGTAGAGGAACAGAGCATGGGATTTGAAGTTGGGCCAGCTTGGGTTTTGTAGCTTTACTTTTCTGGGCCTTTGTTTTCTCATTTTAAACAAAATGGCAGCATTTTAGGAAGTTTTAGAAAGCTCAGCAGGCTGTGATGAGGACTAGGTGGGAGGCTGCCTGCCCTGTCTTGCCCAGGATACCTGCACGGTGAGGGTGCCCGACAGGGTGGGTTTCTTCTGATTGCTTACCTTTGCACGTGAGGAAACTGGCACTCCACCATGTGTCATGTTACTTAGTGGCTTTGGGCAGCCCAGGCAGGGATGTGGCACCAGGAACTGGGTTTTGGCTCACTAACCCTTTGTGATTTTGAGTAGATAAGTTCCTCTACCTTCTGGACCTCATTTGTCCATCTATGAAAGGATGAACTCATGTCTGAGCCCTCTTTTGATGACCTTGTTTAATTTCCAGGGCTCTCCATGAGGCCCCCAACCTTATTCTAAGGCCAAGAGTGAGGGAGTGATCAGAATGGGAAGGTGTAGTTGGAACTGACTGGAGGGTGCAGATGACAGATAGATAGCGTTTAAGAGCAGACAGGTAAAATTTGGCAGCTTCAGTGTTTGCCTGTTGGAAGCTGAGACAACTTTGTCTGCCAGGTAGTTTTCAGGTGTGATTGACCTTGGCTTGAGTTACTCATGGGCTGTTCCAGCCAGTGGGAGTTAATGTAATGGTCCTGGCAAAATGAATCCCGGTCAAAGATCTAGGACCAGACTTCAGGGTAAGCCTGGCCAGTAACCTTGTATGTGACTTGTGCTTTTGCGCCACTCTCTGTATAAGGTGGTAGTTGAACTTGATTTTAATTTTTGAAATTCAGTGTAGAAAATGGACTTTGACCTTTTGGTGATGCTTATTGGAAGAAATTAATAAATTAGAGAAAATTAAAAAGGAAGAAAGTATCTCTCATTTCCTTACAAATGATGATTTTCAATATTTCAGTGTATTTCTTTTGTCTGGGTATGTATTTATGGCCCACCCATTCTAAAAGAGGATTTGGGGTGACATTTGTGTACATTTATGTATTCAGGATTGAGGATTACTCCAAGTTTTTAATTAATCTTTATAGCAGACATATTTTATTTTCCTGATGTTGGATTTGGGTTTTTATGATAGTTTCAATTTTTGGCTCAGTCCTGAACTTAAAGATTGATTCCAACTCCATAGTTTGGTGATCAGGCAAAATTATCAGAGGGCAGAATGCATTTGGATTTAGAAGCAGGAAAGAGCAATCTGCTGAGAAGCTGAGCTGAGCCTCCATCAGCTCTGAGTTTTTCAGATTGGGTCAGGGAAGCATTATTAGGCAATAGACATAAAAGGCCTGGATTCTGGACTTGGTTCTCCACAGCCATGTGACTCTGTCTAGGACACTGACATTGTCTGGGCTTCAGAGCCTTCCTTTGAAAAATGCATGAACCCTCAGGGAATTGGGCAGTTCTAACGATGGTAAATATTTCATGAATTATAAATTGTAAAACATTATGTGTTTCAAGATGACAGTGTGATGTTTTTCTCCTGCTTATGGAGGGTCCACAATATGCCAAGTACATTGCTGGGCACTTTGTATCTTGTTTGATTGCCCATTACTTTATGAAGTACTGCTTTTCTCCTGTTACAGCTGAAGGGGGCCAGGCTTGGAGAGGTACTTGCAGAGGCTGTGCTACAACCCAGGGCAGTTTCTGTTGTGTCAAATCATACCTCCAGTTATGGTGTAGTTTTCTGTCAGTATCCCTAAATCCTCACTGAACCTATTTATATAACTCAACCAGTAAAACGTCTTGGATCAGTGGATTCTGCATTTTTGTTTGACATTCTTTTGTTTTGGAGCTGGGGGTCCAACCCAGGGCCTTGCATGATATGCAAACTCTACCACTGAGCTGTACTCCAGCCGTCTGACATTCTTAAGGCATCTAAGTTGGTGCCTGATTCCCAGAGTTTTAAATTTTGGTTGAAATGGCATTGTTTCAGCCAGCTTTTTCACTGCTACAACCAAAAGACCTGACCAGAAGAGTTTTAGAGGAGGAGAAGTTTATTTGGTCCTTGTGATTTGAGAGATCTCTATCTATAGTCAGCTGTTTCCAGGAGAGGCCGAGCATCATGGTGGAAGAGAGTGGTGGAGGAAAGCAGCTCAGGACATGGCCACCCCGGGGGGAGAGAGAGCGGTGGGGGGAAGGAGGGAATGCACTCACCTCACCATGGACAAAATATAAACCCGAGGCCTGCCCTCAATGACCCACCTTCTCCAGCTACATCCTACCTGCTTACAGTTACCACCCAAATAACCCGTATCAGGGGATTAAATGCACTGATTAGGTTAAGGATCTCATCATTTCAACTTTGAACTTTCTTGAATTGTCTCATACATGAGCTTTTGGGGGACACCTAATATCTAGACTATTGCAGGCATATTTATGATAATAATAACGATGATAACAAAACAATAGATGTCATTTATTTAGGACCTACTATGTGCTGTGTTTATGTACCTGAATTGACTAATTTTCACAGGTAGACTATAGCATTCTACTCATAAAATTAACGTAATTACCGTGTACTTGGCACAGTGCCTCTGCACCCAGCACACATTTGGCACATGGAACATTAGATGTGTGAAGGAATGCATGAATGACCCATCTAGCAGGGGTCCGTCACACAGCTCCTGATGTTAGAGCTGGAACTCCGTTCTGAGGCGGAACTCGGCCCCAGTGCCTGAGCTTCATGCCTCCCAGGTAGCTGGGCTATGTGTCCCTCTCAGCTGTGGCCTGCTGATGCCATTCATATCGCGGCAGTCTGAACAGTCTCTGTTGTGCAAACCTGGCTCCTCTTTTACCCTGTGTGTTCTTTCCTAGTGACCTTGCTCCTGCTTGCCCAGATGACCTGGATGGCATCAATACCTGTGTTGGATTGGAAAATGGAGGTAAGCACACAAAGCAGTCACTTTTTGACTGAGAACAAGGGAAGCAGACATGGACCAAGTGCCCTGAGGCCCGGGGCTGAACTTCCATCCCTCTGGGTCCTAGAGCCCACCAGGCTTGGTACACAGCCAGTGCTCAGCATTTTACAGTACAGATGTGTTGATCTGCCCTCCACCTCCCTTCATAGACGCTGGGCAAACTCAGGAGTGCATGTCCGAGGCAGTACTTCACAGGTGCAGTTGCCTGCTGCCACGCCTGTAGGGATTCAGCTAGGGCTTGCCGAACTGAACAGCTGCATGGAAGCTGGACATGGAGCTGGTGGCTAGACCTCACACGCGGTGTCTGTTTTCTCCAGGCCGAGTGGCTGGAGGCCTGAAGAGTTGCCGTCCGGACTTGTGTGTGCCAAGGCCTTGCAGGCAGCTGCTGGGTTCCGTCGGCCGGCTGCGGCAAGCGCTGCTCAGCCCGTCCTTCACATGGCTACTAGACCGTAGGAGATATGGCTGAATCAAGTGGGGTCTTGTGCTGGAGTGGATTATGAGGTGCCTTTGCAGTCAGGTCTTGCTCAGCATTCTTCAAAATTTCCATTTTTGGAAAGAGTGAAGTCCCTCCTAGGTGGCTGTGTGGTTTGTGCTAGTAATTTGCCTTGTTGAACTTAGAGATATCTTGACTTTGATTTTTTCTTTTCTCTCCAGAGTAATGAGATTGGTATGTGCAGCAGGAAGTTTTTAGAGCAGCCAGGATAAGAGTCACTGTGTCATTTCTGGAGAATTCTGAAACAGATAGGCCATCCTCGGGTTTTCCTTTGGAACCTATTAACTTAAAAATCCCATAAACCTGCTCTTCCTGCCTATAGGTAGTTAGAAGCAGAAAATTATTATATCCACTCCTTAATTCAGCCAGTGGCCAGCCCCTGCTGTCAAGCCCGTTAGCCGTACTTTGTCTGTACATTGGCTTCATGCCAGACTCCGGGGGTGAAGTGCTTGGGATTCAAGCTTGAATGTCATTACCCTCGAGCCCAGGACATTGACAAACAAAAAGTTGTGGTAGACATTGAATGATTGGTGTGAAGAGAGATTTATGGGGTCAGAGTCAGGTGAGAGTTTCTGAAGAACCTGACCTAGGAGCTGAGACTTGGAGGGGGGTTAGAACCGTGGTAGGGAAGGAGAAGGGGAGAAGGGTCAGCTTTGACACAGGAGACAGAGCGTGGCCCATTTGAGGAACAGGAAAACAAACCTGTGTGCCTCCAGTTGCCCTGGCCCACCCCTCAGCCTCTTTCTGCTGAGTAGTATCCAAACACTGTGCCCACCCCTGGGCCTTTGTTTGGGCATCCGTCCTTCTTATCTGCCTGCTGTCTCTCTAGGGCTCAGTTCAAAGCTAGTCCCCTTCTGTGGCTCTCCTGTGGCCTGTGTAGTTGTGCTTTCACTTCATTTCATTTATTCCTGTTGGCTACTTTTAAAATGTCCCAAATGAAACCAGTCCTCATCCACTTATATCACCTCCAGCCTGGATTCTTCCTGAGTTACCCCGACAGTCTCCTTGTTTCTCTCCTAAGCCTCTTGCAGTCTGTTCTCAGCCAGGCAGCCAGAGGGAGCTTGTAGAAACCTGAGTCTGCTCATTTCACTCCCTTGCTCACAATCCCCAGGGGCAGCTCCATCTGTAGAAGAACCCACAGGGCCATATGCAGCCTGTCCCTGGAACCTCTCCTGTCTCCTCTTCTACTGTGCCCTTTGTGTATTGATCTTAGCGGTTGTCTCATGGCTGGTCCTCAGACCCCCGGGGTGCCCTCCATCTCAGGCATCTCCCTGTACCTGGAGTGTTCCTCCCCAGGCCACTGGCTGCTTCCCTTCAAGTCTGGCAGACGTGGCCTTCTCGGTGAGGCCTTCCTCAGTTGCAGTGCCCACCCTGCCCCTGGCATTTCCCACCCTCACTCACTTTGTCTCCATGGCTTTATCACCTTTTAACATATCTGACAATTGCCTGATTATTTTGTTTGTTGCCTGTTTTCCTCTGAATAGCAGCTCCATTTGTTGCCTGATGTGGTCACATCCCAAACTGCCTAGCAGAAAGTCGGCTCTCAGCGCACCTTTGCTGGGAGAGTGAATCCGTTCATTTTCTCCACACACGCTTACTCAACACCTGCAAAGCTCCAGGAGCTGGCTCAGCATGCTCACAGTTTGTTGTCCTCTCTGTTCTGCCCCCTTGTGGGAATCCTTGGGTGCAGGATCTTGTCTTCATCATTTCCCCCAGCACATAGGATGGTGCTTGGTGCAGAGCAGGTGTTTGCGAAGTGTTTGTTGAATTAAGTTGTGGAAAAACTTGGGTGCTGGAAAAGTCAGTACTCATCTAAAGCAGGGGTTGACGGTTGGCACCCATTAGCTGACTTAGGAAGTAAATTCTTATTGGAATGCACCACATTGTTATGAGTTGGTTGTGGCTGTTTTTGTGCTATTGCAGGAATCAAGTAGCTGTGACAGATTTTAGGCTTTGTTTGTAGCCTGCAAACCCCAGAATGGTCATTGTCTGGTGTTTTTAGGAGAAATTGGCCAGCCCCTGCTATCAAGTTCGTTAGCCATACTTCGTTCCAGAGTCTGACTTGAGAGGTTGAGGAAGCACGTGTCAGGACAATCTGCTGTGCTGTGTGCCTGCTGTATTTTTTGGGTTCATCCTCTAATATGCATGGTTACACTGGGGATAGTTTAAGTACCTTGTCAGTGTTGAAATAAAATGGTTTAGAACTTTCCCTAGACTTGAATCAGTAAATCACAGTAGGCAGGAAGCGCCAGCATGGCACATGTGGAAGCTATTCTTGTCTTCTCGGGCCTCTAGGCCTTAAAGGGAATGTTGGGCAGTTTGCATGCCATGACGTTTTCTGTCTGTTTTGCCTTTTTCTAGAGCTCCCACAAGTGTCAGAAGAAAAGGTGTCTCCCACCAGAGTACGGAACATGAAGGACTTTGAGAATGTAAGTGGAGATGCCAAATCATTATTCCTGACAGATCAAGCCTGCTGCTGCTGTCCAACCAGACCCAGGAGAGAGCTCCTTTCTGGGGACTGTGTATTCTCTGTCAGCCTTTCATACGAGGGCCACTTGCAGGTCCAGCTTTGGGTATTTGATGAGGGTGTTCCATATTGCACAGTTGAGGGGAGCTAGCATTTGTCGAAGGCCTTGCAGTAACATAAGGCACATTATTTATGGCTCCTAATTAGTCCTTGCTTCAACTCTTCAGGTATTTTGTATTATCTCCACTTTACAAACAAGGAATCTTAAGAGTGGGAAAGACTTGTTTCAGGTCATATGATATGTGAGGGGATACAGAGCTGGAATTGGATTCCATGTTTTTAGTGATTGCAGAACCATTATTCTTTCCTGTGCCTTGCACCTCCCCTGGTATTTTGTAGACGTGGTCGCTGTTGAGTGGGCCATGAGCAGCCTGCACACAGCACCAAGGAGTCATTGTGTGCCAATGTCTTCCAGTGCTGTGTCTTTCATTTGTAAGCCGAGGGGTTTTGTTTTCAAGTATCAGGAAAATAAGGTTGTTTTCCCAATTCCATTTCTCTTTAACAAGTTACCTGCTCTACGCTCTCATTTATCATGGGAAGAATTAGACCCTTCTTCATTTGTAACCAAATGAAATCCATACTATGCAAGACACAGGAGATATTTATCAGAGAGAAGACGGAGGACACAGAGAGAAGGACGCGCCACAATTATGTTTCTCTCTCCCAGTTGTCTTTACAAAACAGAGTGGTGCTGTCTCTGAATTTAATTTAGAATACTCATTACTGCTAATAGTTATCTGCAAACCACCAGTGACCAATTGAAGAAATGACTTGTCAGATCTCTAATGGAAACAAGTAATTTCTGAGCTTTGAGTTGTTATAATTTCAGTTGTACAATGCGATCTATGCTGTGGGTCTAGGGCCTCAAATGCATGAGATTTGATTATTCCATATTGTGTATAATTAAAATCTACTCTACTTTTAAGTGATTGTTCCTGTTTTATCATAAGAGTAATAATAGCTACTGTTTATCGAGTTCTTGTTCTGAGCTGGGAACTTAAAGTGTTAAACTAGATATATTACTTTACTATTAAAGCAGCTTTGGAAGGAGGTGATTATTTTTGAAGGGCACTGTTAAAGTTTAACAAAATGGTAGAATTTTCGTTGTGCATTTCGTTGCCTGCCTTTTGAATGGGAAGGAATCCTGAATCTAGCTTTCTTTATTACATGGAGGAGAGACTGAGGGCTGGGCATGAGTGTGGCAAAGCCATTCTCAGGGGTGTCCATGCTGCCTGGGTCCTACCACAACTTCTGGAGTCAGATTATGTTTGTGCACTTCTGCTCAGTGACCTTGGCCCTGTTACTTAACCTTTGATAGTAGCCTCTACTTCATGAGGCTGTTGGGAGCTTCATGAGGGCAGCATGCATTCCAGCACCTCCTGCGTTCTTTGTGTGGCCGTTTTTCCTTCTTTTTCTTATTGTTATTATTATACTTGTCACTTTTCTCCACTTTGCCATGTGATGGAAGTTTCACTTGTTCAGACTGTTCTTGACAGTCTATATCCAGTTTTTTTTGAAGGTGAGAAAGAGCCTTCTGTGCCAATATGTTTTAGGATTTATGTTTTTTCTTTATGACTGTGGTCCTTTGGCTGCTGTTAGGTTTTTATGGTATTAATATTTTTTATTGTACATTTTCAAGAGCAAATTCTGCAGCTGAAATTGAAATGACCACACTGTTCTCAGTATCTCCCTTTCAGGTCTTTATAGGTCACTGAAATTTTTCCTTTGGCCTTTGCTTCATTTCGTAGCTCAGGTCATAGATTTCTGTGTGGTGATAGTCTGAACTTTCTGTGGGGTGCCTATAAAAAGTACTTGTAATATCTAAAGCTAATTTTAGAGTTAGTACATATTAAAGAAGGGACTGAAATACTTTTGTTTTGGAGAGGAATTTCATGACTCCTATCTAGTCTCAGATGACTGATATCTAAACGTGAGCAGTTGCATTTAGCTAGAGTCTAATAAGACCTAGGCTCTCTCATGGTCTTGCTCAGGGTTTATCTATTCAGTAAATGTTTTCACAAAATATCCCTGTGCCAGGCTGACAACCTGGGTGGGGGAACCTGCAGTGGATTAAGACCAGGTAAGTTTCCCTGCCAAGAGACTCAGTGTTAGTTGGAAAGATGGATAAGAAAATAGTCCATTGGGGAAATGTGGAAGTGTAGGCCCTGAGGGGCATGGGTCGGGTCTGGGCCTGCTGGGGGATTCAGGGACGCTTTCTTGGAGGAGCTGTTGCCTGAGGTGGAGCAGGAGGGACAAGTCAGGACTGGACAGGTGGAGAGGGCTGAGAGAGCATCCCTCTCAGGACGCATGTGTGGTATGAGAGAGTGGGGCAAGGCATGGTGAGTTTAGGGCACTGCACATGCCCTGGGCCTGTGGAGCAGGCGTGGGTCCCATCCCGCAGGCTCTTGAACATTATGCTGCTTTGTTTGATTTTTGTCCTGAAGGTAAAAGGGAACCAGTGATGGATTTTAATTGGGGGGAAAAGGACCAGAATTGTGCTTTCAAAAGATGACCCACTCTGGCGATTGTGAGGAGCAAGGTTTGGAGAGGAGAAGGCTGGTGGCCAGATGATGAGGTGAAAGGCTGCTGTGGTGGTGCGGACCAGAGGGAGGAATGCCGGAGCTCAGGGCGTGAGTCCAGAGGTGTGGGGTGGGGTCAGGACATCAGCTGGAGGAGCTCGGGCACCATGTCATCCAGCCAGCCCTCAATGGACACATGGAGGCTGGAAGCCCAGAGTGGGTGAGACTTATTCAGTCTTTGAACCCAGGTCTTCTGGCACAAGAAGTCCTTTCTGGTGTGTTCTTTGTGCTGCCTCAGTACTCACTGACACGTGGAAACCACGCTGCTTCCTGTGGGTCTTTGTTAGCCAAGGATGTGGTCTCTGGGGAAGGCCCTGAGGTGGGAAGTAAGTGAGCCATCTCAGTCTTCTGTGAGACCTTGTCTCATCGGTTCTTTCTAGATGATAATGTGGGGAGCTCCCTGGCTGGAGGAGACCTGGGAAGCAGCATTTTGTGAAGGCCTGAGTTTATCTGCTGTGACCTATTCTGGATACTCTTTCTTCCTTTAAAAATTTTTTTTTGAAGCTGGGCACATGCCTATAATCCCAGCAACTCAGGAGGCTGAGGTATGACGATGGCAAGTTCGAGGCCAGCCTTAGCAACTTATTGAGGGCCTAGGTAACTTAATGAGACTCTGTCTTGAAATAAAAACTAAATAAAATTTAAAAAAGGATTGAATGTAGCTCAATAGCAGAGTAACCCTGGGTTCAATCTGCAATAAAAAGAAAGTTTTTCTTTTTTTTTTTCTGTGAATGAGGAAGACCCAGAATTTGGTGTGACATGTCCAGTCCACATGACTGTCCTTATCAATATATAGAACAGTTTGGTTTTGGCCTTTGACAGGGAGTGACATCATTAGCTTTCCATCTCATTACTGGTAGAATGCGTTATTTAGTGACTGTAATATTTCATAAAGGCTTATATTAACATGGTAGATTGAATCAATTTACATAATTGCCTACTGTTCAACATTTCAGGTTGTTTCTTGTTTCTCAGAATTACAGGCAAAACTGTGAAGAAACTTTTTGGTTTGATGCCATCCCATTTATTGATTATTGATTTTACTTCCTGTGCTTTTCTTATTAAGGAAGTCAGTTCCTGTGCTGATATGTTGGAGTGTGGGCCTATGTTTACTTCTAGTATGTGCAGGGTTTCTGGTCTAATACCTAGGTCCTTGATCCACTCTGAGCTGGGTTTTTGCCGGCTGAGAGACGGGTTAAATTTCATTCTACTATGTATGGATTTCCAGTTTTCCCAGCACCATTTGTTGAAGAGGCTGTCTTTTCTCCAATATGTTATTGGCACCTTTGTCTTGTATGAGGTGAGCGTGAAGAGAGAGCCGACAGGATGGGAGAAAATCTTCGCCACCTGAAACTCAGATAGAGCATTAATTTCCAGGATAATAAAAACTAGTTTTGTTTATTTTATTTTTTTAGGGTAAATTCCTAGAAATGGGATTTGGGGATGTCAGAGGTTTCAAATATAAATCATATGCAACAAACAGTAGATTTCAGAGCAGGATTGATTTCAGTGGCCTCCTCTGTAAGGGGCGGGGAGACCCTTAGCCAGGTGGGGCTGAAACGCTTGTCTCTTTCTGTTCCCCACCTGTGTCTCTTTGTCCTTGTCCTTTGCTTGACTTGTCTCATACCCAGCTATCCAGAGTACCTATGTTCTTGTATTGAGGTTCTTACTCCTATTTGTTGAAGATTTTTGGTCTTAGTTGAGACAGTTGGTCAACTTGGAGTGTTTTACCTGCTTTGACAAGGAGATTGCATCTTTAAACTTGCTCTGTAATAACTGTGTTGTGAGTTACTTATCACCAGAGAGCACCCCACCCTTCCCATTTGTGTAGCCCTGAAGCTTTCAGAAGCACCGTGATGGGTAGATGCAACGTGGACTTGACATGATGAGGATTGGGTTGGAGGTCTAGCTGGTTGGAGGTCTGGCTGGTTGGAGGTCTTCACTGACTTGTGGCCTTGCCTTGGTGGCTTCCAGAACCTCACGTCAAGTAGACCTAATAGAGTCTTTCGTTCAGCCACGTGAGGATTTCATGAGCTGTGGTATGTACAGTGCCCACCCGGTGTGTCACCTGGCATGTAATGGGCACTCAGTGAGCACTAGCATGTGCTCTAGTCGGAAGGTCAATCTGTTGTAGCCACTGCCTTCTGGGGCTGCCTCATCAGTTTTAATTTTCTGTTGATCTTTTTATGTTTCTTAGACTTTGGAATAAAATCCCTAACTTCTTGCCATGACCCCTGAGGTCCTGTCCTCAGTAGTTGGAGCTCCCTGTCTCTCTGAGCTCTGCATGTTCCTCTCTCCCCTTGTAACTGCCGGGCCACACCAG